AGCCTAGAAGATTATAATCCCGACAACACTACTTCCAAATAAAATATAAAAGGAAAATGCTTTTATTAAGTAAGTAACCTATCGAATAGTTAATTTTGTTCTTGTCAGGAATTTTAATTGTTAATATTTACTAATTCAAAATTTATTTATTCATTTATTCAGGATTTGTTTGCAGATTGCTGTATTGTCGTATTATCTCAAAATAATGCCTCTAGGCATTACTTGAGATGATACAGTATGATCTTTGTGATTCTTATGGTTAAAATTTTAACATGTCAATTATTTATTTGCCTGTAATGCTTTTTTAGTTCGCAAGAGACTAGTGACTGCTAAATAATAGCTATTCCAACGGGTTTCTCCTGGAATGGCTATTCCATAATACTTTTTATAAGTAATTTTCTGTTGGTCACGTAATTTGGCGATGAAGTATTTATTTCTTGCGTTTTTAAAGTAGGCAGCTAATTTAATCGCTTGGTCCATTGTAATTTTTAGGTCTGTAGATGCTTTGAATACTTCACCTACACACAAGTTTAGCTGGTGCGCATAGCATGGTAAGAATACGATGTTTCTACGAATAAGTCTTAATCTTCGCCTAACAAATTTATTAATGAAAAATTAATTGGAATAGGTGAAAAATTAAAATAATATAGTTATGGGGTTTCAAAATTAGCAAAAAATTGTACATTTTACAAAACAAATAGGATTTTTCAAATAGTAATTGTTACTATATTGAATTATAAATCGAAAAAATAGAATAAGATCTTAATTTTGAAACCCCAATGTGGCAGATTAAAATGAAATCAAATCAAAATGAAAATTTGACCTATTTAATTAAAAAATTGCACGTCATAGTAAAATTTTTTGTAAGGGGTTAAACGAAACCCGAATTTTATTTTAATATGATTTCGTTATAGTCTGCAACAAATAATACCTAGACGCCGCATATGGCCCAGCACTATCTGTGACTACAGCGGAAACCTCTACGTTTATGCTTTTTAGTTCATTGATCATTGAATTAGTTTTTTCCATAACTTTAGTATATGATTCCCTCTCTAAACTAATATCTGTTGCTTTCTATACGTAGGGTTTTCCCTCAGAAGTAATCATCATTACTCCTAGTAGTTGTTCGTTTTTTACGTTGGTCCACCCGTCGAACGTTAAAGTAACTCCTGTTTGATCTTTACGAAGTGCATCATGCATTGTTTTATTCTCTTCAGCAACAGCAGCCTCCAAAACTTTTCCACTAAGAGCCCGACGGTCTGGAAGTTTAAGGTGAGGATTTAAAAATTCAAATAGCTCTTTAGCCTTCGGCTTATTGATCCAATGGAAAGCCCACCCGCAAGATACTGTTAATCTTAACAAGAGAACTTTGAATTTCTCATTATCTTGCTGAGACAATTCTTTAGCAATATAGTTGTCAATTGGTCCGTATGTAGAGGATCGTATAATCTTACGGGGTGGTTGTAGTGACGTGGTTGCAACGTCATAAGATGAGCCGGAGGAAACTATTAAATAAATATATATATATTAGAATTTATTTAGAATTCACCGGAGGTGAAATTCACCACTATGTTTTCAATTATTATTTTATGATCTATAGAAAATTTTATCTCAAATGTTAATTAAAATTAAACTTTAGGGTTAGGATTTAAGACTTAAATTAAGATAAAGGTTTTTAGATGCTAAACATTTTTACTTAGTATACCAAATGTCGGTTACCAAATCCGTTTTTGAGAAATGGCATATCCGGTGAGTTTCGCCTCTGGTGAGCATTAAAATTGTCCTATATATTATTATATGCTAAAACAAAATAAATATTATGTTCTTACTTGGTTGTTTTTTTTGATCATCAGATAAACTGAAAATTTCTTCTCTCTGTTCTGGTGTCGTTTTTTCAATGAAATAATTACATTTTTTGAGATGCTGGACTATCCTGTCGGTTTTGTTAGGGAAAGAAGTTTTTTTTCCTTCATCCTCGCCCAATTTTTCAATGCACGCTTTGCAGTAAAATTTATAATTCCAATTGTTAAGTTTTTCCTTGGTTTTGATTATATGTTCATCTAACAATGTTGATAATGGCATTTTACTGATTAGTTGGAACAAGTTCACGATTTGGAATACGAAGCAAATATTTATTTATTGATTAGTTGGAACAAGTTCACGATTTGAAATACGAAGAAGCAAATGTTTATTTATAAATTTCAGAAGTTACATTTATTTTATTTAATGTATTTGATTTTGCTTAATATGAATTTGGACTAATCCTTTTTTATTTTTTTTATTTTCTTATCAAATTCGAGAACAATATCAGTGTTTATCATAATGTCGATGTGGGTAAACTTTTAATGCTTTAACTAATGATTCTTAAAACTTTATTACTTGGGCGTTCTAGTATTTTAAGATACTACGCATGCATACGCCCATTTATTCATCTACAGGCTTTTCGCATGCTATTTATTCTTACAATATTAGCGCTCAGCACAATCAAGCAAAAACTTTACAATTAAATACTTTATCAAGTCGGATACTAATCATAGATCAAATCAATTTACTGTACATAACTGAATTGATCTATATTGTTTGATATCCGATTTGATTAAATATTTGAGTATCAAGTTTTTGCTTAATTGTGTCAAGCACTATTTCTTATATTACGAACGAAGGAATAAGCACAAACAAAAAAAGTATTGATAGAATATTTTAGTATAATTCTTTAAGATACTGCACTTTCATCTCCTTTATAGATCCTTCACATGTATTTTACGAAATATTGACTGCATCAGGGATAAGGATGTATACTCAAACATTTCAGCTGATGTACCACCAACGACTCTATTAATAATTTCAAGCCTTTTAACAAGATTATATAAGTGCGTGAGAGTGAAAACCTGGAAACGGATTTAATGATTTACTATAATTGATTGCAGGTTTTTACTCCCACGCACTTATGTATTCATGTACTTGCTTATGATTTATGCAAGACGCATTTAAATATTCAGCCACAGAACTATTGAATATACGAATATAGGTGCAATTCCAAAAGAAAATTTGATGATAATCATTTATCATTCATTGTTACAATCAAACCTCCCTAAATGCAAATTGTAGAGACCAGACTTCTAATAGAGAGGTGTTACATTTAGAGGTTGTATTTAAATAGTGGATTCATGATTTTAAATAGAGACTTCCGATTTCCAGCTTCAGTTGTAGTATTATACATTTGGGGATTTTTTTTTTTAGCACAAGAGTTTTTATCTTAATAATAGCGATTGGCTAAAGGCATCATATATGATAACTAAGTACGTATGTACCTCCAGTTGCATTAAAGACATTTCCTTTTAGATCAATTGATAGGGTAACTAATTTATACGTTTAAAGCGTCTTTGAGATAACTGAGATAATTTCAAATAGCATTGAAAAAACCAGAAATTCTTGAATTTCGAATGCAGAACTTGATTATACTTGTATTATGTAAGGTAAAATATCTGAAAATTAAGAATTTCTGGTTTCTTTTGGCAAGTTCTCAAATACCTTACATATTCTTAGCGAACAGTAGGTTTTTTTTTATTTTGTAAATTTGGTCTGCAAGTACCTATAAGTAAAAATAAACTTTTTATGGTCTTATTAATATACCGAAATTGTAAACTTTCAAAGAAATATTTTATTTGGTTTTTATAAATCGTTTTACAGTTAAATATTTTCAATAATTCTAAAACCTAAGCACGTACATATTTGTTCAAGTAGTAAAGTAGTAAAAATCAATACAAGCGGCATTTTTTAAATAATGGTAGAAATTATTGCATTAAAAAGGTGGTTAAAGAATACGTAGATAGCTGATAGTATATTGAAATATGTTATTTAATTACATAACGTTTCACAAAACTGGACGCGTCTGTGGACGCGGACGTGGACATGTCCGTAGACATTGTCCGGTGTCCGCCATGTATCACGTGGACAGGTCCGATGACAATCTGCATGTCTGACGTGCCGCAGACGTGGACATTGGACAATGTCCACACTTGTCCATGTCCAAACAATATTATGTGGACACTGTCCAGGTACAACACTGATTTAGATTATCTAATTAAACCCTCTAATCTAAGTTTCTCTATGCTAATCTATCTAACTAATCACTCAGAACATGCAATCTATTAGTCAGTTCAAGTTTCAGAATCATCATACTTCACCTATAGGATAATCATTTTTGGCATATCCTCAAGTATATCACCTGCTAGAGCAGTTCGATACTCACTATTACTGTAATATTTAGTCTTCTTCAATCTTATACTGAGTCTGAGAATAAGTACTTGCAAGCTGAAGCTGCTACCATTATCTACTTAGCTCTTGTAGAGTTCACCCAAACCCCAGTACTTTAGCTTCAAGACAATCTAGTATCTTCTTTTTTAGTATCTTCTAGCTAGTCTCTCTAGACTACTAATTCAGATAACCCAAATGGGACACTAATCTTTTGGTATCTGTACTGCAGATCTTTTTTCTCTGATATATAATGGTCTGATTAGTAAAATACCTTTCCTCTGAATATTTAGTTCTCGTTCAGTTATGCTAATCTTGGGTGAAGTTTATTCTAATAGCTACTGTTAAAGGTTTGTGCTACTTCTTTATTTGGGTCTTGCCAAGTAGGTATCTATTTTTCTGATTTTCTGAGTTTATACAAATATGAGGTCTTATCTTAAATTTGCACCAACTAATATCAGCTTGCATACTTTTGTGTAATAGATATATTGTATGAATAGATTATGATCTTTTAATTTTAATACTACTAAGGTTATAAAGATCCTATTCTAACTGATTATCAAAAGACAGTAATAGTTATTCAAGTAAATATTTGAAATTCCATCATCAATGGGTTTTGAACCTCCCACCTGCCAATATGTTGCTTAAAGATATGACAACTTAACTACTTTATTAAGTTGCCACACCTTTAATTAATATTTTTTTAAAAAAATCACTATATTTTTGTTTATAAAAATTTATATATAAAACTATATAAATTATATTATGATTATTCTTTAATTCATTAAAGAATTATTAATTAAGGATAGAGTAAACATAGATTATTCTTAATAGTAATTATATTGCAAATCATATAATATTATATAATTTATATTGACTTGACTAATCAGAATTGTAGACAATAGAAATCTGACTAATAAGAATTAGTAATTTTTGTGTTATCTAGACAAATTTCAATCAATCTAGAAGAATTTAATAATATATAGAGATAGAATTTTTTTAAATAATATAAGAACTAAAACTTTTATTATTATAAAGAAAAGATTTTAATCTATATATTATAAAGTTTTGATAAAGGTTAGTTGCAGTTTAAAAACTTTTACTAATAGTATATACTTAATTTTTATATAAAAAAATTTTAGTATATAACAAATGATCTACATTCACTTTATTCTTAAAAAAAAACTAAATAGAAAAAATATAAATACTATATAGAAAAATATGATAAAATATATAAACAAGAAAAAAAAGAAATAAAAAAAAAATAAAAAAAAAATATAAGATTTTCATTTATACTAAATAATTACAGTTATAAGTTTGTATCAAGTTTTATAAAAATTATATACTACTATTTAAACTAGTCTTTATTCTAAATTTATATAATGAGTATATTTAAGTAAAAAAATTCTTGTAGAAAAAATATTTTCTTTAATATTAGTATAATAAAAGGTTAGAAATTTATACTTGTAGACTAATATTATTATTTATTTAGATTGTTAGATTAAAGATATATAATTTATATTATAGTTTTTTTTTTATTTTAAAGTAATCACTTTGGGATTTGGCACATTTTATTAACTTTGATTGTGAATGCCACTTTGTTATATTAATAAAAGTATATTTTAACTATACTTACACCTTTTAAGTATCTAATTTAAGTAGTTTGCCTATTACTAGATTTTATACTAGATGCTGTATCTATAACCTACTATTATTTAGATTACCTAATTAAACCCTCTGATCAACTTAGCGCTGTCAGATATTTTCTTCAAAAAAGAACTGCTGCTAAGGCCCTTTAGAACTACTTTATCTTTATAGTAAACCTACTAGAACAGTCTATATTCCACATATATATTATCTAAATTTTAAATAACTTATATCTAGATTATGACCAAGTACTTGTGATATTTTATCTCTGCTATTATCACTTATTTCTTGCCTTTATAAAATTTATCCAAATTCTAGTACTCATTTTATAGACTATCATCAACTTTTTTAACATACCAATAGCATTTCCAAACTTTTAATTCAGATGGTCTAGAAGGAACTTGTATCACCTAGTATTCTGATGAATCCTTTTCTCTATATACATGTAGCCTGATTGGTATGGTGCTTTGCTAAACATCCAGTCCTCGTTTAGTTTGCTATCAGGTCCAATTGCTAATGATTATCCTTTACATAGTATCATCAAAGATTTGTGCTACTTCTCCATTTGAGACTTACCAAGTGGGTTTCTGTATGCCTAATCCTCTTGATTTATCTAAATACATCACTTAAGTTTTGTGTAATTTTTGCATTACACTACTATTTTACATTCTCTTAGTACAAGCTGATATAACTAAGGTTACAGATGCCAACCTATCAGATTATACATAGTTTGCTATAACACATTTTGTAAAATTTGAATTTCGTTGCCAGTAGGATTCAAACTTTTGTTCTGCCATTTGGGATATGACAACTTACCAACTTCACTAAGTTGCCACATCCTTATTTATATTTATAGTTTATATAATCTCTATATATTTGTTGTAACAAATTATAAGTAAATAATACTAATTATTTTAGTAATTACTATATTAATTTTTTGAAAGGAGTAAACTAAGTTACCCACTTTTTAAAAAATTTTTTAAAGAAAAGTAAAAAATTAAAAAATATATAAGATTTTTCTATAGATTATATAGTTGTATAAATAGTATTTTAAGCTTTTACTATCTTAGTAAAGACTATATTACTACTTGTTCTCAGAATAACTTTTCTAATTTGAATACTAAATATTTTAAAGTTTGCTAAAAAAACCAAGAAACTTGATTTCAAGAAAATTTAAATTA